TCCGAAAAGGGGAGAAAGGCAGCCTCAAATTACTTTGGCTGGGACATGAAAGTGAAACAGGGTGGCGGTTAAGAGACGATAGCACTTAAAATCCAGCTGCGACCGCCAAGCCAATAAATGGAAAAAAGTAGGGAGCAGCACTTTTAACCTTTTAAACCAGCGTTTGTGTACTGCTACTGTTGCTTTGGCGCTGGGAGTGGCCCGGTCCCTGGCACCTCCCGTCTGGGCCCGGCCCATTATGGCCTCTTGGGGTTTCCAGCCTGTGGTGAAAAAAGCGTACTGGATGCCTTAAACCACTAAAGCTCTCATTATAGTCTAAATGCAGCGCGACATAACTCTTGCCAGCTCCAAGGTAGGAGCTCCAGTATTTAAGCTCATCGTTGTCTTAGCTCAAAACCACGACTTTCCCCCCTGCACATCCAGTTAGAAAAAAACAGCCACTTCCACAGAACCACATCACGAAGTCTACCAGCTATAGTTACTGGGACCTCATGTGCATGGAGATGAAGTTCAAAGGTGAAACAGCTCATGGGTGTTGGGAAACTATATCCTCTTCTTCCTGTCACTGGATTCAGGGGATGTCCCTTCTGGGAGGAAGTAGGCGAAAGCCACATTATTCCCTCTGGTTCTGGCCGACGACAATATGAGTTCCATCTGGTCCTCTCGATGCCCCTGCCACGTCCCTGCTCCTCACTCACATGCGGACAGCACGGGCCCGTTGGAAATCAGAGGCAGATGTGCACTCATGCAGTGCATCACAGTTCATCTTGCTACAGGAAAGACAATTTTGGCATCCGGGAGACAATAGAAAATTATGAGAAGCAGATGTTATTCCCGTCGCATCAGACGTGTATTAATCAGGATGGCTGTGTGCGCGCGCTGTCAACATGTGGAGATGATGAGAATGTGGCAAAACATGGTGACCAGCTGTCAGAATGAGGGGTTGTGCATTGTAGAGTCCATTCAAGAAATCAGATTACATCTAGTAGCATAGTGCTTTCAGCATCATCTGCTATTCGAGGTGGCCATCTTCACACCTGGGTGACTCAATGAAAACCCATTTACCAGGGGACAACAACAAAAACAGTACTAATATCTGGCTTTTGTACTCAGTGGAAAAGGTTACAATCGCCATAAATCTATCGATCATAAATCTATCGATTAGATTTATGATTTGAAAATGATAAAAGTAGGGTAGACATGTGGATATTATCCGGCTGAACAAAACGTGATCCGTCTCTTCAATTTGTGTCAACCACAGACCTTATTTCGAGCTATTTTCCAAAATCCTATGGAGAAATTGCATTGGTTTTTGTCGAAGGAACCGGAAGTGTTAAAATGCTAACTTACTTCTGGGTTTTAGGACGCGTGACTGTGGCACATATATTATGTGATGCAAGTGTAAACAAAAATAGGTCTAAAAAAATCACTTGACATCGGGTGTATGATTATAACTTGTAAATTGCAAAACATACACTTAATATACTCCATTAGGTGACCAGACTCCATTCAGACAACTGTTATTTTACCTCGCTGATCTTTGTAGAACACACTTTCTTCAAAATAGTCGGGGAACAAAATGATAAAAATCATCTTTGAAAACGGAAAGGCATACTTGTCTACTTGTAAGTGGAAAGAAGCATACAGCTCTTTTTAATGAAAAAAAACTGCAATTACACATTGATTTTGACTATAAGGGGACAAGTTGGTCATGCCATTATTTGCCTCATTTAACAGGCTTAGGTCAAAACTGCTGTTACTATGCAGAAAGTTTTAGCAAGATATCCATAACTGTGATGTTATGTAAAGTATGTCCAAGTCCTCCTTATCTTTGTTTCTCTACCAAAAAACTATTTATTATGGCCCAAAATGGTGCTGTTTATTATGTTATTTAACTATTTTTAATCTGGTAGTCTAACCAGGGAGTCTTTAAGTCAGGGACAAGACGTGTATACAATTATCAACATGTCAGGATGGACAACCTGCCAAGTGCCAAGAATCAGAGTTAAGAGCCAAGGATGTATTTACACTCTAAAGTTGTCTTAGGGAAATGCCTGTTGATACACACACAAACAAACACAGACATAGTCTCATGTCTTCACAGAGTGATTTAGGGAGACATTAATTACTTTGCTATTAGCGAGTTGAACTGGAACAATCAGGGAGCTGGTTTGGGAAGCCTGGGGTTTGGCACTGTGGCCAGATCTGTGTCGTCCCCCCTTAGAGCAGAGGGAGAACCAAAATAAACTTAATTTATTATTTTTGCCCCCCCCCGGCAGCGTTTGCCACTTTTTGCAGTATTCGGGCAGAGCTGAGTGTTAGCTTTAGGGAATTAGCAAAGGCAAGTTGGAGTGTATGAGCGGTGATCGTGGTTTGGTCCTTGCTGAGGAAACTTGCCAAGCCCCCTCTTTCCCCTGTATTTGAACCGATACCTGCTGAGGTCTGGCCACTGCTGTACACACAAGGTAACGCAAACCCCTCAGGGCTCTGTTCAAACAGCAGAAGAGAGGACTAGAAGGCACCATAAACCTCAAGCACTCTGTTCAAATGAACACGAGATGGCAGAGGCCTTGTAAGTGGGAAGAAAAGTCGACAAGTGCAATGGCTGCAGAGGTCAGTGCGGACAACTGGATGCACAGGAAACTGAATATTTATGTTCAACCTAATTCCAATGTAAAACTATATCCTTTACAACACCACAGCAATTTCCCAACACGTTCCTGCAATGTTATTTCACAAGTTGAAAATATGCAAGTAGGGAATTTGATACCAGTTGAAAATTATACTCTTCAGGTTGTATGGTTGTTATTCATTGTCAGTTTCAACTTCCATAAATCTTTGGTAGAATATATGTTGTAAGAAATTCAGGAGAGTGCGTCGTGCTGAACAAACTGCCCCTCATTATAGCCTGACAAAATATAAGCTGCCTCTAAGTGGTCAGAAGCTATGTTAGCAAAGAAAGCAAACCTAAATAGATGCGGTTTGCGATGTAAAGCTGAGGTCCGACATTTCTGTGTGGTTACCGAGTGGCGCCAAATGGCCATCACTGTGTATAAACAGGGGCCATTTTTTGTGCTGAGTGTCCCCTCCTTTGATCCCCACATAGCGTCTTTATTTCAAAGTAAGAGGAAAACAAAAATACATATGTGCTCTGAAAAGATGCGGCTGAGTGGGTGATACAGACATTGCTGCAGAGAGATAGAAGGAAGGTGGTGCGAGATGTTTAAACTACAAGCTCATCATAATTAGAAAAAGTCAAAAGTGCAATTAGTCGCCATCTGAACCCAGCTAACTCACGGTAGCGTGATGCAGAAATTCTACAACACTGTTGAGCTTTCTTGTGATGCAGCCCACCACTTGACGCAACATGGTGAACTTGCTTAAACTCAAATGTGTATTTGCAGCATATAAACAGCCCCCCTGCCCCTCAACTCTCTGTCTCGCTCACCACAGGCTGCATTGTAACCCGGCCTCCCACCACAGACCAATGATCTCATGGAGCTCAATCGTTTCTTATGTCTGAGGTCACACTTCAGCAGATACTGGCGTTCACACGACCAATGAAAACAATAACTCAACTGCTGTGGTTTGGTCAAGTATTCTTCATACAGTGAAACCTCAGTGTTCATCTTGTGATGTTCCAATGTCAAACTTCACATCAGAAGAACCCTTCATAATGAAGCGCCATTCAATCAATCACAGGGGACTGAACTTGTTGGCTCAACTGTCAATCACAATCTTCATCCAAATTAACTTGATGTGCATAAAATACAGTTGTATAGATACCTCCAGATATAAAAGCAACCACTTCAAAGGGATGATATAAATACTGATATAACTTAAAGTGGCTTTCCAACATTTAGGAATAGTTTATGATCCCTTTATCAATAATAACAAGAACATGCTTAAGATCAGTAAATAAAACATGTAAATCTGTGGCACATGACTAGACCCCAACACCTTTGCTGCCTTACAAGCAGTTGCCAAGCCGATTGGGCAAGAATTATAAAACTTCAAATAAACACTTGGTTCTGGCGAAAAGCTTCATATAAAAGTGACTTGTGGATCCAAGCATAGCCAGCTCTAGCCAAGTGCACTTGTCATGTTTGGGGCCAGGAAATGAAAGATGGAAACATGGAGTCTTCTTCCACAATGACTACTTGTTTATCTATTGTTTGCATGCGTTTATAAAAGACTCAGAAAATGGTTACATGTAAGGCTAAAACAAAAAACATGCTAGTGTTGATGACTGCTACATAGTAACAGCCTACAAGCGGCGGGACTAGTGGGTTAGTTTACACTTAGCTACAGTCAATACAAATAAACATATTCCACTAATAAAACCAACAATTCAGATTAAAAACAGCATATTAGTCTAAAACTCGCCACTGGATATGAAATACAGCCAAAACTAAGCACAAATAGCAGCCTCGTAGCCTTGTTGCTGTTGTTACACGCATGAAACCTGCTCGGTAAAAGTTTACTAACTTTGTGCAAGCAGTGGGAGATTCGTTACTTTTTAGGGAAGGTTCCGAAACGCTCGTGTTTCGGGATTAATGCAATTAACCGTAATGTGCACAAGAGAGCTCCAGACATCAATAAAATAACCTGCAAGAGCATGTTTTCCCTGTGAATGAATTCCACAAGATAGGAGCCATCTTGTGACCGCATATGCTTGCAAGCTTAGTACCATCCTCACACCGCCTGCATGCGCACACACACACACACGCGCACGCACACACACACACACACGCGCACGCACACACACACACACACACACACACACACACACACACACACACACACACACACACACACACACACACACACACACACACACACACACACACACACAATATACAACTATTGTCAACCCCCCAGCCTCTGTGGAAAAAGTTTTAAGAAGGGCAGCTTGGTAAAATTACACCCCGCGTCCCGGTAGTATTGCTCGGCACTGCTGCTCGTCATTCCCCCCGTAAAGAAACAGACTTTACACGTACTTGAACGATCTCCCCCTCCGCGCTGATAGTGGCTCCTGCTTTGGAGAACCGTCCTTGCAAACCAGTCGTGTACGTAGTATAATCTCCATTGGGACTGGACTCGAACAGAACCACTTCCACAAAGGCAGTATCCTTGGCAAAAACCGTACCAAGAGAAGCGGCAACCACGAAGATCACCAGGACCACCGAGTCGGGTACACGATCTGAGCCTCTCCGTGGTAAAATCATCATCTTGCCGGCTGGATCTTCGCCGATCGGGACATAATTTCACACGGATTTATTAATCGGGTGTAGGTAATCGATCTCAGGTCTACGCGGGCAACGGGCGATGCGTCAAAAAAAGGCAGAATTGTGCAATAAAAGCTGAGCCTGGGCTGGAGCGTGTTTATTTCACCACTGCAAGCCTTGTCAATTACATTGCCTGCAAACGCTCTCTCTCTCTCTCTCTCCTCCTCTCCTCTCTCTCTCTCTCTCTCTCTCTCTCTCTCTCTCTCTCTCTCTCTCTCTCTCTCTCTCTCTCTCTCTCTTCACCCCCTCCTCCTCGCCCTTCTACAAAGCGGATCTCCTTTGATCTCAAAACACGTGATTATTTTTTTAGTTTTTTTTTCTCTCTCTCCCAAAAGGGATATATCCCCACCCACCAATCTTTCTGACCCTCTCCGTTGCACTCCCCACTCTGGAGTGCCAGCACTCAGTTAAGGAGGCGCCGCAGATTTTGCTGCTCTGCAAATAGGGGGACTTGTTGTTTGGAATATACTCAAGTCACACGTTTCGGTTTGACTACAAATATGTTTTATTGAGTTGATTGTGAAGCAAAGGCAACGTTTGCAGCTGTTGTTTCAACAACAGGTATGAAAAGCCACCCAGTGTTCTTTTCCCACGAGTTTGACACGTTTTTGGCTGCAGTTCCACCTTAAAATAAACATTATACCTCTTCAGGACGCTTCATGATTTAACCCGGCTAATTTTTCAATCTGATTTAGATTTGCTCACCTAGAGGTCACAATATAGTAAACAGTTTGACAATACATATGTTACCAAAAATCTCATATTTTCATATTATTATCATGTATTTTTCCCTTCCAATCTGCCTTTCAGTCATTAATTGGAATTGTTCTATTGCACAGGAATTAAAGGCAATCCACATGCATACCAGTCTTTATAGATCTCCAGTTTATTTTGATCTTCAAAGTAGCTGCCATCCTGAAGACCAACCTGACAAGCTAATCAATGTAATCATAGATCATTTCAGCCATTTAACAAACCTCTTAATGTTTAAATGTAATTTGACACAAACAAACAAACTGTTGCTGTTTTTTTATGGAGAATAAGACAATTATTTCTCAATCAGTCTTTGTTCAGTATAAAGAGTCTATTGTGAAACTTCCACGCTGGCCAGTTTCTTAGGATCTTCTGCCTGGTGACTTTTTTCAGCCTGTCAGACTGCTCATTATGTGTCATTATGTCTGTTCCTTATGTGCAAATAAGAACACTGTGTCTTTAAATGACGCTTAAAGAATAGATACACACACAAATACACACACAAACTATCTTTTAAATACCACAATAGGTGATGATTTGAATCTTTGTGCAACTGAACAACTCGTAAAAAGAGCTCATGGTGCCATGCAAGAGATGACGAAACTGTATATGCATTGTTCTGTCTTTAATGTAAGTAACGAGACTTAAAGGCGACAGTGGGCCTATATATGTTTTCAGTCCACAATGGCCTTTTTGTTTTTACATAAGGCAAACATTGAAAAATACCACTTTAGAAAAGCCTGTTTCCTTTAGTTCTATAAAAAGTGGACAAATTAAGGGTGTGTTCTGCAAAGTGTTAGATGTAAAAAAAAAGCCAAGAAAACAAGGTCTCATCTTGCTGTCAGCTGTGTGGCAGTGTGATTATGAAAACCAACTGTGAGAACTTTTTAGGGTCTCTGGAAGAAAGCATGATGGTCAACATGTGTTCGGACTCAAAGAAATAAGAAAAAGAAGGCGAGGAGGAAAACAATTCAAAGGCGAAACTCAAAAAGTGATTCAGCGCCTCCGGCAAAACAATAATTCACTGGATCACCAATCACATTGGACGTCACTTTGTTTCATGAATCCTGATTCACACCACATGTCCAATTTCTGTCTTGTGACAATTAACGCTCTGTTTCAGTTTTTCTCAGGCATGCACATGGGGTACAGATACATTACATAAATACATACAAGAAGGATGGAACTTTAAATGCACAATGCCTGCAAGCTCTGTTTTGACAGTCAATTAGATGCACTTTATCAGCTTGCTAATGGGCCATACAATGCAAGAAGGCAACAAGTGATAGGGATCCAATTACTCAGAGGGTCTATTTCCTCTTTTATTACAAGTCTGCCCTCTGCTGGTCCATAGGAAAATGTAAATCAAGTAATCTTTAAAACGTCCTTTCCGAAGGCAAGTTGGATGACAGATTTTTTAATGGCCCTCTGAATTACATTCTAGACCAACATTGGCCTGGACCTCAAATAAATAGGGTAAGGGACCATTTTGACCAAATGTTTATTGTAACATAATGCCCACATTCTTTGGCCCAGTGAAAACGTTGAAACAAATGCAAAGTTGAGCACATAGAAAGGCATGCTGACATGACGAGGCATTGGGTGAATACAAATAACATAACAAATAAATACAAAAATAATGTTTTACTAATTATTTTTTTGATTATATATTACTTTCTTACATTTTTTGTTTATTGATTTAAGATATTTTAATACCAAATAGTATGGCCATACTTTTAGATTAATGAATGAAATGCCTTTTGATACTTTTTTATGGATATGCAGTAACACTGTATTTTCAGGTTTTGCTTTTATTTAAAGTACCTGTTTGGGGACAATCTGGCCCTTTGTTGTTTAACATTTTTTCTTTTCCTTTTTGACAAATTGTTCCCCTCTTCTCATGAGGTTTTCATCTGGCAGCAGCTGTGGATCCTCTCCTGACGCCCCACTCTCCTTCTGCATCAGTGTCTAAACTCAGGCCACGCTGAGCAGAATCAGCTGTCCACATGTTTAGGCTGAGAGAGTGCGGAGGATGAGAAGGACTTTGAGAGAGGATAGCTGGCCGTAGTTGTGGGAAGTTTTCTTTTTGTAGCAGTACGATTCATTGGCTAATTATGATGTTTCATGTGATGTTAAATGACTGCACCGCTATGGTCTGTTCTCTTTTAATATCTTCTCATTGAGTTAAACAGTTTCCTTCTGCTCTGACAACAAGTTGTTGACTAAAAAACAATTGGTAACACTTGCCTTTCAAGAGATAACTGTTATTAACAAGGAGCTTGTTGATTGTATCATTGGTATCATTCCAATTTTGAGGATGCTATTGACTTTATAGTTGCTCAATTGGAAGATCCTGGATATGTTCATGGTTACTCACCGCTGGACATACCTAAAGCAGGTGCACTTCATTTTTTAGGGAGGAAAGCTGGCCTGTTGTGTTAGATCTCTCTGTGTATTGATCTTGTGAGCACAAACAACCCAAAATGTGGGAATGATTCAATTAATTCATAGCCAGAAATGACAGTTTGTGCGCACAAATAAATAAATTGTGACATTGATTTATTGAATCTTAAGCTCTATGGCTATTCCCAAACTCTCTAAATTCTCAATGTATTTTTAACAAGATTTCACACAATCTTATCCAAGATGAACATGCATTTTTAAAGTAATCTAATTTGAGTACTGGTTGTTAAATGGGAAAAGAAACTTGAAAATAATTGTTATTTATGTTTGTGGATTTATGCTAAATGTTTATCCCTAGATTCAAAGCCTACACCCGAGCTACTTCACTCTTGCAGATTTCCATACATCATTATCATATAATATAACTGATGATACTCATTGCCTGTGCAACCCCCCCTTCCTGCCTGTTATTCTGAACAAAGATCTGTCCTTAATTGACTTGCCTGGATAAATGAGCAAATATGAAATAAACACAAGATCACGGGTTACTAATAATACCCAAAGGGAACATTTGAGTGTGGTTGATCAGTCCATCAGTGCAGAACTATGCGTACCAAGCGGGCTCCCAGCCTCTGTGAATTGTCCCTTTGTTGGCATGGTGCTGACGTTATGTTTTAATGAAGAAAGGAGATGATGAGAGTGGTGGTGGTGGGGGGGGGGGGACATTTACATTCATGGCTCCCAGAAGAGCGCATCACTGCAGCATATTATTACATAAAGCAGTTAATGGGCCCCACAACCCCCATATTATGAGAGATGCTTTCCCTCTGATGACACAGAACGATGATGACTATTGACTCCCGCCGGCTCAGACTATTCACATTTTTGCATGATGTCACTGCAAAGATCCCAGTGGGAAACTCTCATGAAAATAATTTGAAAGAGGGGGGAAAATACCAGCACTGAGGGAGGGATGCTTGACAGTACTTTGAATATAATAATACAAATGTTATTAATGGGTTCCCAAATATATAAGGAAAAGCAGTATGAAAGGAGTATATTCAGATTTTTTTATTAAGTCAAAGTTCTAATCACTCACTACATTCAATAAATCCTTAATTGAAAACCTGACTTAAAGAGCATCGCTCTCCTCTTCCCAAGAATCTGATATTCGAATGTCCCTGGTCAAGCTAAAAAAGTGAAAACCGCTAGCTGAATCCATCAAATGTTTCCTGTATATTGAAAAAAAGACCAGACACCTGGGGCCTCATTTATAAAGGGATATACGCGCAAAAAATGGCGTACGCCAGTTTCTACGCAATGTTTGCGATTTATAAAATAGCCTACTAACTTTACGGGAAAATGTGCGGTCCTCCAGGCAAACTCTAACCCATGCGTACGCACTAAGCACAAAAACGGGAGAGACGAGAAACTGCAACACCGTTGACAGAAGGAAAAATGGAGATGTGGAAATAATACCATAAATAAAATGTTACCTCTCATTTATCATATATGAAGAATTCATTTTCACACATTGATTAAAGCCAATCTTAAAATGATTAAACAAACGCCTGTTTGAGACTCCTCAGTGCACACAAAAACATAACTTGGAGAAATAAATAAATACGGATATGTTATTAATTAATTTGATAAATGTCTGTGGAAGCCGTAGTACTGTAAAAAGCACGACCAATCATTTTAGCCGGCCCGGCTAAAATAACTGGATGGCCTTCCTGCCTGTCAGCCTTCCGTCTGTGCACAAACCTATCTCGTGCTCTCATTGGTCATGTGCGCGTTCGTGTGTGTTGGAGGAGGGGCTCTGTAGTGGCAGATTTCTTCCGGTTGTGTATTTTCAAATTCTAGCGCACTCGAGCTGGTTTCTCCAAAATTACCTACCCCACCTTTAAGTGTGAACATCAAACATCAAGACGTCGACAACAACAGACAGAAACCCATAACTTAAATACATGCAAGCATAATCACAAGGACAAGAAACAGGTAGGGAGGGAGGAAAAACACAGGGGGACCAGGTGAACACAATCAGGTAATCAAACAGGAGGGAAAACACAGAGACAGGAAGTAAAAAGAGACATAACACAGGGAGTGAAGACTTTTCAAAAATAAAACAGGGAAACAGACAGATCGTGACATTACAAAATAAAACGGGGAAAACACAGACCAATCATGACAGTTTCTCAGGAAAAAAAACAGTCATGTTTACAGTTATGTGACTTGCAGCCGATCCAAGAGGCTTTTAAATGTATTATTTAATCATTAATGTCCACAATGGCTATAAGGACTAAATTAAAACGGGGAAATAGAATAATAAGTTAAGGGATCAAAACATTTTTGGTAAAAATGCAATAAAACGCAGTTGAACGATCTGGACGAAGTTTATAGCCTGATTAATACTTTCTCATAATAACTATAGCATCAATATGTTAATTTTCGAATGGCTCATAACTAAATGTTACAAGCTTTGAAGTACCAACTATTCAGGGTCTGGGCCCTTTCCTGGTCAGACCGCTCCTCGGATCTGGCTCGGGGGTGAAAGTCAACTTTGAAGTGCAGACTAGACCAGGGGGAGGTATTTCAATAGGCCTCTAGTTCAGACGAGGGCTAAAGTTGCAGCCGTAAGGGGGAGGGAGCAACCGAGAGAGGGAAAGGAGCGAGGAAGAGAAAGAGAGGAGGCTTTTGAAATGAGGCACCTGTACGTTTGAGGCTTGCAAGAACAGGTATGTTCCCAGGGGTTAGGGGCTTTGGAGAATTCAAAGTCATTTCAGTCAGCTCCAACGCTCATAATCTGTTCTGAGAAGGAGGAGGATAGGGGGGGATATGATGTTGATACACTCACACAGGCGTGAACATGTTCTCAAAGGACTGGATGGATGGATGGAATCTGTGCTCACACTCACATGCACACACACAGCAACAAGACAAAAACAGAGAGTTATTTAGACTAATGTGGTGGAAAAAGAATCTCATACACCCAACAGGAGCTGAAAACTCCTATTCTCCTGACACACTATACAGACAGTATTTAGGTCTTTATTCTGAAAAAATAAAAAGGAGAGAAAAGTTTTTGGCTTATCAACGATCAAAGAGTAAAAGAGTGAGTAAGGTTTGCCTTGTGGCGACATTGCGAGAAAGTAGATGAGGAATCAAGACTGGAAACAGGAGATAGATGATGACCCCTTAGGACGTGTGTGTGTGTGTGTGTGTGTGTGTGTGTGTGTGTGTGTGTGTGTGTGTGTGTGTGTGTGTGTGTGTGTGTGGTGTGTGTGTGTGTGTGTGTGTGTGTGTGTGTGTGTGTGTGTGTGTGTGTGTGTGTGTGTGTGTGTGTGTGTGTGTGTGTGTGTGTGTGTGTGTGTGTTGCAGACAACAGCAATAGTCTGTTTTGGTAATTTCTCACCCACTTTACTGGACAAGACAAGCTGTTCCTGTTTCCAGTCTTTATGCTAACTGAGCTAAGTTATGCTAACCGGATGCGGGCTGAAGGTTCATATCTACACAACAAACATTTATGAGTAGTATCAATCTTCTTAACCATTGAGAAACCAAAGATTTCAAACAATGTCAATCTATTCCTATCGAATTATATTTCGATATTTTGCTTGGGAGTTGGCAAAAAGCAAAATGTATGCAAATGTTGCTCCGTGTCTGCAATTGTTTGCTAACATGTTAGCCTTTACAAGATTTTAAGTTCAGTGTTTTATTATAGTTTGTTGGTTGCCTTCAAGTTGCCATCTATTAATTGATACAACTTTACTAGTCAAACTTTTTGTAGTGAAAAGTATGCCACATTCCTCATTTCACAACAACATGAAACATAGTTTCTACTTAGTTATTTTTAATAAATTTAATTAAAAAAAATCCAAGAAATGTATAAAGCTGTATAATAATTTTGTGGCACATTTGTGATGTATAATTTAGAGTTGTATTTATTGTTGCTTTGTATGGTTGCTTGTTTTTATTTTAAATGTCTTCATTACTTACCTATCTACATCGATAGGTTTATTTATTAATTATTGTATCTTATTTTTAAAAAGCTTTTCTTCCTTGTGATTGGAAAATATACTTTGATACCATATTATGTTTATCGCTTAGTTTAATTTCCTAAATAATAATAATACATTGGATTTTTATAGCGCTTTTCCTCATGCTCAAACACGCTTTACATCAAATCAGAACAGAAACAGTACAAGGAAAACCAAACACTTAAAGTTGTAGTCCTAATCCAAATGCGAGTAAAATTAATCACTTTAACAGCAAGTGAACAAAACTGACCAACAGTGTCTTAGACTGCCAAACAAAAAATGTGATCCTCAACATACACACTTGTAATACATTTGTTATAGTCTTAGATTGAAATAATCCCCATTAAAATGTATCTGTAATTGCCTCTACTTGAGGCTGAAAATGCAGTAATTTTCTCCCCTCTCACTAAAAGACATATATTTTCAGTCTCTCACTCACTCTCACCCTCATTCATCTCCTCTAAGGCCTTGTCTTCATTTCTCCTTTCCAAACACCCAATCACTCTCTCGGATGGTTCAACATATTCCCCAGAGTCTCATTCCATCGCTCCTTATTGCTTCTGACTGCAGGTGTAGATTGCCACTCTAAGGAGGAAAACAATGCGTCAGAGCACCAAATCCCCAGATGAAAAGCTGGTCTCATCACTCATCAAAGAAGGGATATTTGCTTTGTGTGAGAGGGCATGCTGACATGGTGCAAGACTTTGCCACATGTGCCACCCAGTGGTTGGGTGGCAGTAGAGATGTAAGCATGGGGGATGGAGTGAGGGATGACTGGGAAACGAGTTGGGGAGAGAAACGTGGCTCACCATGACTGAAAACAGATCGTCTTCCCTCCTGGGTCTCTTTGATGTCTGGGAGACTTATTTTGTTTTCTTCTGATTTTGTGGTAATGGATGCACACACACAAACGATTATAGACTAACTCACATACACACACAGCAGGGTAGGATCCACTCAAAGAAGACATCAAAGAGACTTCAGTTCCAATTTAGCCCGTAGACACAAATTCAATTTCCCTTGAGAATCAGATCTTTGTATGAAGCACCAGCTTATTGCATTACTGCTGTATTCAAATGATTAGTTCACTAGATTTTCTACTTGGATGTCGGCCAAAACTTTAAAGTACAGCAAACCTGGTATGTTCTTAAATAGCAACACATATTATTTGAAGTTCATTCCTGAACTCGGAAACGGCCGTCAAAAGAATCTCACCACTAATATGTGTATTAACTGGCTTTTCCATAGCTTTTGATCAATTTAAAAGGTCTTCCTCAACGGATTGATTTTGTTGAGTTCGGATGCAGAATTGTAGTTGGATTACTTCAGCGAATGATACTGTATTGTTGAGATCAGCTTTTTTTTCCCATGAATGACAAGGTCTTAACTAAGCCCCATAATATTGTTTAGAATTGTGTATTCATTGCTTGTTTAATCCTGAATATGTATGTGATACCTAAATCTGAACTAAACTGCACCCTTGTGGACATTTTTAAGGGAATCTATTATTTTGATAACATTTATTTCAAATCCTAACACCCATGAAGATGCCAGTTTGAACGAGTTCCTTTGTATAAATCGACTTTCATTTTGATGCTGACGCCATCTTGAATAAACTGCAGTGGTTGGCCGTTTTAAGACTCAGTACTTATAAAGTATAGCAATTTAAGTTCCTGTAGTAGGCTACTGCTAAAGCTGGTAATTTCAGGTTATAAAAGTCAGTTTAGATTTAGAACATTATAGACTCAGTTCAGTAAAATATTTTAGGCGACACATTTTTAGCATAGGGAAGCATGAGTTTATTATTATTATCTCTGTCCAACTGTAGTAATACACTGGATTAATGTATTGTTTGTGTATTCTTCTCCTTGCCATAAGGAGGCATAAATATGTGAACCAATAGAGAGGCGAAGTCCCTCCCTCTCCGGGGGAGCTCCATGGGACCTTATTTCAGAAAAAATGTGTATTGAAGTCAATAGTGAGAGAAAACTTATCTCTCGATCCCGTTTGAATTGTGCCACGAATTACATATATGATGTTTGTCAATCTTAAAAGATAATTTCCATGTAAAAAAGTCACAGTTTGTTGAAATATAAGACTATGAAAAATACACAACTAGAAAGACTACAAATCCCAGAATCCCGGTCCTGCATGCTCTTACGGAACCGACTAACTCCTCTTTTGTGTGCAGCTCTCAACATGCCCAGACTTGTAGTGATTTTCACCTCTTCCTGTTAGGCCCCAAGCCTGTTTTTCAGGTCTCAGGCTCGAAAATGACATTCCCAGAACAAATGACCATATCTTCCCTTCTAAAAGGGTTAAATTAATAATCTTTTTTCTCAAAGTAATGATAAACCTGTGAGTTGGATGTAGAAAAGTCAGAATCAATATAGATGTTTTTTATTTTAAAGAAAATTCAGATTGAACATGGTAAAAAACTGTAAATTCTAGTGTCTGTCCAAAACATATTGTGTACTTATAGTGAACACTAACCTTGGATGATGGGTTAGTTAAAGCTTTAGGAATCCAAAGTACAACATATAATAAGTACCCTAAATCAAGATTGATGCAAAACAAGTGATATTTTACCTTTTTAGACAGATTTAGCAAAAAAACCCTCTTCTGGGGCCATTTGGGTGGATTTTCCATATCTCTGGCCCCCCTTGTTCGATTTTGACATGTGACATCTCTTTCTGACTGTTAGAGCCAATAGAATCCAAGGGAAATCGTCCCGCACATACTCATGTTAAAAAAAGGTAGCCTCTCTGCGCATGCTAGCTCTCAGCAGAGGGGAGAAATATCGCTGCTCTGATATCAAGCAACGGAAAAGCTGTTTTATTACTTATGGATTATCAGAACATTTCAAAGGGGACGCAGTCACATTGGATTAACCTATGGATTTAATACACCATCGTTTTTATTGTTTTAATGCCATTGAAGACCAGTTTAGACCAGACAAAGACGAAGGTAAGCCATGTTAGCGTTGTGGGCTACCTAGCGCCACTTGTTTTGATGTACGTTTTTGTTGATAACGTCGCAAGTTTGTATCTTTCTTGCGATCATAAACGATGTGTTGGATGTGCACCTAGGATAAGTAATAAGGGAGCTAGGAGTGATTATCGGTGCAGTAATAGGTTAGCATTTTTCGCTAAGGGGTCATTTAGATGCTTCTTATGAGACTTGTGTTTTGTTTTGGTAAAAATGGTTTGTATCGTCAGTTAGCTGAGATTATTCCCGTTAATCTGGTATAACACATTAATAGGTTCTTAAATATTAAGATCCCCTGAGACACAGTGTCGTGAAAAAAAAAACTAAAGTACCCGCCGGCGGGGACCTTCGGGCTTAACAGGTTAATACTTTTCGCCTCATTCTGAAAGAAAGAAATGAAATGTGCTAACGTGACGGCCATCTTGGTGTGTGGTGCAAGACGGGAGATGGAGTTCATTGAGCGGTTTCACACAAAAAAAAGTGTTACTTCACATTTTTACGACAAAATTATCTTTTAAATTGACAAACATCATATGTGTAATTTGTGGCACAATTCAAACGGGATCGAAAGATAATCTTTCTCTCGCCATTGACTTCAATACTTTTTCCGAAATAAGGTCCCATGGAGGTCCCCCGGAAAGGGAGGGACTTCGGCTCTACCACTCACTACTACAGGTTGGTGTTCTATAAACTAAAATACAATGATGCACCTTTTTTTGTCTGTGATCCGTTTGTTTCTTGGGAAGGTGAATGTTTTTGTTTTGTAGTATGAGGATGTCTTATCCTTTTGTACATGTACCTTGAGATGATAAATGATGTAAAAGTGTCTTTTAAATTAAAAACAAGATTTTAATTTGATGCATAGAAAAAATGTTTCCTTTCCAAGGACTGAATATTTTCATTTCCAACAACAATCTATTTTTGCATATGCCAATGAAACCTTTGAATCTTGAAGAAACCCGCTTATTATGTATGTAATTTCCTCTTTTGAACACCAGAGGGCAGTAGGACACATGACTGCTACCTGGGCAGTTCATGCAATACTGAGTGGGAGAAGTCAGGTATATCATCAAGACTTATTTACACTCTTGTTGTAGGACGTGTTTTCCACACATATCTGACTTTGACACTAACAACAGGAAGAGTAAGTGACCACTCAGGAAGAATGATGCCGGCTGTGATGACTGGAAGATTAACGTGGGTTTCATAATTTTTTAGGGGCCGGATGTCTTGCCTCTGTGTTGCATCAGAATAATGTTGCATCATATTGAGATATCATACTGGTCAGAACAAATCATGCATGTTACTGTTAAATGCACACATATCATGATCATTGATAATACATTTTTTTGCAGATTTGTTATCATATTCCTCTTCAGTGACAGTATTTTTATGTATAATAGATGTGTATGTTAAAAAAATTTAGGCAATTTCCATCAACACATTTTTACTACATTAAGACCCTGCAGTTAATAGTGAGCAAAACCGCAGCAGCAGATCATTACAAGGGCCCTGCACAATATTGCCTTCCTGTATGTGAACATTACAGTGTCGTCACGGACAAACAGTGTTGTTGTTGTTGTTGTTAGTCTACCAGTACAGGGAACAAAAAGAGCACTATGTCAGCTCTCTGTTCTAACAAAGCCTGGCTTATCTGGGTTGAACAAAGTGCTTGCAGAGTCTTAAGACAATTACAGAGAGGAGGGACAACAAGCACTGTTCCACTGGTTGCATTTAGGTCAATTTATACTGAAGAAGTATTTGGCTTGATTGTTTAATTTCCCAGAAATTGCATTTGGTGAAGAAACAGTATGATGGATGGATTAATTAAACTGCTCTGATGCATCAAAGACAAATGGGATTTCTTTGATCTACTAGCAGGGACATTCTTGACTTAAAACCGTTGGTGTCTCTGTCCCTGTTTTACTGACAAAAAATGCAAATGAAAAGCAGTGGTTTCCTTATCTGTAGATTACTTTTGCACTCACACACACTCAGAAAATAAGCTAACAGGTGAGGAGATATCAGAGAGCTGAATGAGTTTCTGCAGCATCATGCTTCAGTGTAAAGAAATAATGACTCTGCAGCCTGTCAACAGAGCTGCTTTTGCAGGGTTGCAATTGGCGTTGGCGCCTTCACAGCAATGAAATGTAAAGGGGAAACATTAAAGTGGAAGTAACAGAGTTCAAATGAGGACTTGACATATGAACAACTGGCAAGAATGACTCATATTTCAAGAAGAATTGAAGCAGGTAGGGCAAAATTGGCAATGGAGAATAACCAAAAACTGAGAAAAGGGTGACAGAGCAAGAGATTCTGGAAGGTGTGGGAAGGCTCAAGGCCGAATAAACACCCCAGTGGATCGTGGGTAGGGAACGAGATGTGCAAATGGGAGGAGGTAAAGGCAAACACACCCCCCTGCAGATGGATGCGGTCCCAGGGTGTGACCCAACTCACCCCCATTATCCAACCCGGCTTTGCCATACAACACCACCGTTAACACCAGTACCGCCCCAGTGAGCACACACTGTTTATCCTGCATGCCAGGCCTTCCCTGTGGAAACATTTAATAAAATAAAGCCATGGTAGGTTGGCAG